TTTTTTTTTTTTTTTTTTTTTTTTTTTTTTTTTTTACAGCAGGTGATGAATATATGATAGAGTTTATGAACTTGTTTAGACATGGCGTGAATCATTAGATTATGATATAGTTTATATGAGTGGACTGCAGTAGAATGGAGGAAAGAGAACAAGGTCCTCCCAGTGAAAATGAGACCTTCACATTCCATGAATTAATTTTTGAAAGTTAAAAGAACACAATCTGGTCTTTCAGTTTGTCAGTCAGTGAAACAACGGTGCATTATTTGTCCCTCCAATGTCTATTTAGAGAACAGCCCTAAGAAAACGAGCGCTGATTGGTTAAAAATCTTCTTTCTATTAAACAATTAGATTATGAGCTCGAGATTTCTACCGCATGATCACGCGATAGAAATCGAGAGCGAACAATCTAATTGTTTTAGTATAAATCTACTAATCATTCAAACGTTTATCTCAACTAGAACTAGCACGAGCTGTTGACGTAATGATGACGCGAGCAAAGAGAATTTACATTTTGATAATCAAAGTAAACATGTTGTTTTCCTTTTTTTCGTCGCGGTGTTTTCTAAAAGAAATAGAAAGCATGTTCTCCGTGTTTCTATCGAGTTATAGGAACACTCGTGAAAGTTTGGGAGAACTCGAAAAAGCTGTGGAAACACTCGCCTGCGGCTCGGGTTCACACAGCATTTCTGGTTCTCCCAAACTTCCACTGGTCTTTCTATTAAACAATTAGATTATGAGCTCGAGATTTCTATCATGCATAGAAATCGAGAGAGAATAATCTAATTGTTTTAGTATAAATCTAGTAGTCGTTCAAAACTTTATATAAATCCTCCTCACAGATACCTCGAAAACGCAAAGAAATGGCCGTCATTTTGCCAACAAGCGCACACTGCTTCGCTACTCACTATATATCTATCACAGAATAGACGGTGAGTAGCGTAGCCAATCAGAGAACGGTATCCGTGATAGAGCGCTAGTACATTTATACTAAAACTTGATAGAAACACGGTACATGTTTTCTATTTCTTAAATAAATTGAATCAGCTCTCTTTGGCTTAACCAGGCACGCTGCAGCGAGCTATTGGAGAGAATCAGACCGCCTTTGCGCAGGGAACAGGAAGAGAAGGCAATATTATTCTTGAAGAATACTTCGTGCAGAAAGATATCCGGATTGTTGACACCAGAGGATTTTTTGCCAGAGATGAAAAGCTTCAAGATGAGGTGCTCGATATTATCACGGGAAGGTAATGGATTACTTTTCAGGCGTCAATTGCATTAGAGTGGGACACTCGCGTGTGGATTACGGTCTAACAGGATCTCAACGAGAAGGTTACCCTCGACGGTTGACGGCTAAACAAAATATAGCTTTTTGACGGTTGACCCTTACTTAAAATTTTAGTTGACGGTAACAAATTTTCGATTCTTATTTGACGGTTGACGGTTTTCGAATTTGACAGTTAATTTTTAGGCCGTTAGAAGATTGACGGTAGTTTATGTTAAGTTCGTGTAAAGGTATCCCCGACATGTTTCAAGTCGCTTTTTGACCAAATATGACCCTCTCAGTCAAGTATTTTAATTTCATCACAAGATGCGCAACACGGTCTCCGGCCTAGGAAGGGGACTCCTATGTGAAAAGGGCGGAGATGCTTGTCTTCTTCCCTAGGGATGTAACCACGGATTTTAGTCTCTCGTCAATATTATTAGCTGTAAAGGTATCTTTTAGCGTTGCACTCGATCGAAGAAATAATAACATCACGATGTCTGTCCATTTTAAAGTTGTATCTTTTAGAGGTCAAACAAAGCTCGAGCCGTACTCCCAGATTGGTCCCTTTTAGGGGGTCTAATCCAATCCGAATGAAGAGTTCCAGATTCGGGCCACAGCCAACCGATGCTCTTACTTGTTCCCCAAGGTTGCCAAAATTGACATTCTTTTATTCTATTTTCTATCAAAGAATTCGCCTAGGAGAAGAAATCAAACGAGACTATGATGATCCCGTGAACCAGTCTAGGGATGAATTCCAGGAGCTGAACACCATGGCGAGAAAAACTGCAGCGTTTTCTAAATGCATCCACGCTGTGATTCTTGTCCTGAAAGCCAACGATCCTCGATTGGAAGAAGGCATTTATAAAGGAACGCTTCAGAAGATCAGGGACCATTTTCGGACTCACGGTAATAACGATATAAATCAGTGGTAATTATCAATTAGATTATGAGCTCGTGATTTCTATTTCAATCAATCAATCCTTTATTTACCCACGTATCGTCTAGTGAGCTCAAAGCTCGTTCAAAATACGTACGTGTTTCTGTCGAGCAACTATCGGCTAGTTGTCCCGCGGAAATTTGATGTTCTTAAAAGAAATATGCTAGTTTTAAGAAAATCAATTTCCAATGGGCAGCTATCAGTCTGATAGTTCCGAGACATGTTGTTTGAGCGCTGTTCTCCGCATCGAGCAGTGCGGTTGCGAGCCCTGGCCGCTTTACTCTCATAGTGCCTCTGTCCACCCAGGCGTATAAATGGGTACGGGCGAATTTAATGCTGGGGGATAACCCTGCGATTGACTAACATTCCATCCAGGGGGAAAATAGAAATACTCCTAGTCGCTTCATGCTACAGAAACCGGGATAAGCGACGGCCAGAAGGGCCACTTGGCCCGTATGCAGACTTTACTTATGTCAGCTGGGTCGCATGGGTCTATGATAAAAGGAGATACAGTGGTTTTCAATTGAGTGCATGTCGTAATACCAAAACCAAACCAATTACTTACCAATTAAACTACTCAGCCAATCTCAAACCGTAGTAAAACCAAAACTGAAGTGATTGCCTGATTACTTCCGACAATCAATAGAAAACCGCTCTATGTTGACGAGGCCGTGCAATTCCTTTTATTTCAATTAACAGGTATTTATCCAGTTACTGTGATTACCTTCCTGGATATGCTTAAAGCTGAAGAAGTCAAAAAGAAAGCTTCTGAAGAGGCGGGCTTGGCGACCGGCGGTCCCGGCGGGAGAACTTACTTCATCACAAACTACACACACGAAAATAACAAGACGTCCTTTGCTGTGGAACGAACGGCTCTTGACATCCTAGATTCCGCTCTGGTCTCTGCTGAAAGCTTTATACGAATCCGTAAACAGCGAGAGAGAAATCAGATGGAAAGGGAAGCCATGGCTGGAGGTAACGTATAGTGATTTTCTGCCCATAATTCGCAAAGGGAAACTCACCTTATCCCCTCCGACCCACCTATCCATTGTGTTTTGGAATTAAATGGCTTTAACGCCACACAAGACACAGATTGAACCTTATTGAGACTGCAAATACACCATAAAATGTTATTCGTGTTAAATAAAAATCAGATAACTTTTTTCAAGTGTCAAATGTATTTAGCGCTGTTGTGCTAATTGGGGACACTGTAAGTAAATAAGCAAATATTTTAAATACAACATAAACTATTAAGAATCCCAAATGGCAGGAATCTGACCAGTTGGCTATTTACACAACCCGGTCGACGAGTTGAACTTGGGTCTACCGAGAACAAATTCAGCTAACGGTAGGGTGGAGGATTTGAACCAGGGACTTCCAGATTTCAAATCCAGCGCCCTAAACCACTCGGCCACGCCCTTTACTCGCGCGTTATTTCATAGGAACAGCCTGAAGCCCAACAACACTAGACGGCTGGAACGCCACAGTATAGCAAATGGAGATTTCTGCAAATGCGTTTGTTTAATAGAAGAACTCGTGTGTAGCCAAATGTTTGAGCAAGCTGTCTTACAGAGTTTGGAGTGTGTTACTAATGAACTTTAACCTTTAATTTGTCCCCAGGAGCTTCTAGTGGTGTGGTGACTGTGGAACAGTTTTTTGCCCGTGTGAAGACGAAACACCACTGGACTGACCAGGGAAAGACGACAGCTGTGTTGGAAGACCTGCGCAGAAAGGAGATCAATACTGTCAAGGCCCTCAAGGAACTCTGGGACGACGTCAAGTCAGAGCTGCCATTGTCAGCTGGCATGAAGAAGATCATGGATGACGAAATAAAAACCATTATTTAAAGTGTAATAGATAAAACAGCGGAACTAGCCCGAAGGGTACAAATCTTTGGTCTAGAACAGATTTACATCTTGAAACGAGAAATTCAGAAGCTAATGTAGATTTTAGGTAAGACTGACTTTAGATTACAGAAAAGGTTGACGTTAAGAAAACAGTCAATCTTACTTAACAATGGGAAACCAAAGGTGTGGTAGAATAGTCTTAAATGAGATAACAGGAGGCTTTGTACCTTATTTTATTAGTGTGGAAATGGATCGTAGAAATAGCAACTTTCCAATATTTCTTCTTTCCCCTCCACCATTAGGGTCGTTACGTGAACACACGCTCCTTTGCATGCATGTTTTTATGGTTATCTTCCAAAACCAATCACTTCTGGATAACGACATGCTGCTTTAGGGTTATATTCTTTGCAGTGAAACAATTTTTTGTTGTTGTCCTGGCCCATGTTGTGAAAGATGGCCAATTAGTAGGTCTACAGTGTATTTGTATTATCACGTTAACCAACTTCGTACCCGGGCCCTCTCTTCAGAAACATGGAGAAGAGATACCTTGCGAACGAGGTTGTACGAACCTTACCTGTATCTTACCTGTACCTTACCTGCACTTTACCTGTACCTTACCTGTAACCGGCAAAAGGTTCTTGAGGAGCTTTATGAGATATCCAGTGGCTACCAAAACTCTTAACTTGGTTTGACTTGATATGGGTAGAAAAGCAAACAGACCAGTCTATTCATACGCCAAGAATAAAGCTACATCTATTTAATTTTACTCAGTTTGATTAGCTTTTACGTCATTCTTGGTGAATTTGCCTAATTTTCTGCTTTATTTATCTTTTCTTGTAACCAAGAGTTTATCTATTTGGTAACAAAGTGACTTATTGTTGTTGCTGTTGTTGTTGTCATTGCGTTGTTGACAGTTGACACCACTGCCTTCCACAGTATTCAGTTCTAATCCGATTTGCCAGCTTGTGCGCAAGCCATCTGGAAGTCATCAAAATGTTTTCAAAGTGTTGTCAGAAGCTAATCAGAAACTTTGTGAAGTAGTAACACTAGAGCAATATAAAATAGGGACAATTCTATTCTCTCTCCCGTTTTGTGCATTCTGAAAAACCCTTGCTGTCCCGCCTTTTTGTGTTCCGCCTCCTGAGGCCTTACGACTCCTCCTCCCTACTCACTCGGTCGATCCGAGTCCCTGTCCGCCCCATCTCCCACCACGTGATAACTGTCTGTGCGTAGTTATTCAAAAAAGACTGAATGCTTTGGTGGCTTTCGCACAAATGCGTTTATTTCTTAAGAATTTCAAGAGATGGTATGAGAAAACTTCAGAAAACAAACTAACAATCTAGTAAATTTTTATTCTCCTGGAACCTTTCTCTGTTACAGACCTTTAAGTATTACTAGCATAGTATAAACATGCGACTATTGTTACAAGTTTGTTGCGGACTAGGTTTCCTGCAAATGATATAAAGACATGTTTACATCCAGTCTTGTAATGGAAAAAAAACATAAGGTTATCAGCTAGGCTATTATAATATACGGAAACGGTTTCCGAAAAATGGTAAATGAGGTACAGATATCACAAACTGTGTTCAGCCACCTTAAATTATAACGTTACGAAAAATATTCATCTTCTTCGTCTTCGCAGGTTTGCGTTTTATACCGGACAGTGTAAAACGCAGACTGCGGACTGCAGACTGTAAACCATGGAAAAAATGCTGACTGAGGGTAAAATGCAGACTGCAGACTCTAGACTTAACTGAATCTTAACTGAATCGTGTTACAGTTTCCATCACTGAAATCTAACCGTAAACAGGCCAATCGGAGCGTTATTTAGGCTAACCTGAGTGATGTTCAGGCAAACCGGAGTGATATTCAATCTAACCAGAGTGGTATTCAGGCTAACCAAAGTGCAGACTTTCAAGTGTTTATGACATGAAAAATAATTCCTGCTTATTTCAAAGGCCTTTCAAAATACAGAAGACTGGCGTTTTTCTTTTTGAAATATCTTTTTTCGTTTTAGAGATATTGACGTTTTTCTATTATGCAAATTAGATCAGTGATGACGTCATATTATTTACAACTAAAACATGGTAAAATATAAACAAACAATATCTCTGAAAATGTTGAAGCAGTGTTCTTGAAACTTGGCTCCACAAATATGCATCACAAAAGAAACAAAATGACACCCTTAGTGCTGTTGCCATCACAACAGTTTTGCCACTGGTGCTGTTTTAATAGAAACTTAAATCACCAGTTTTTGTCTTAAACAAAGAACCATCTACCCCACCCGATCTAATGACGGGAGTTGAGACAATATGGGAACTATGTCTGTTCCACGTAAGACCTTTTTTCTCACTTTAGAGGTTGCAAATGTGGATATTTGGATTTTTGACAGAAAGAGACCGGAGCCGAAAGAGTATCCTTCAATGTTTGTTGACTGCCAATATTTCTTTAGGCTTGGCGCCGGTCTAATGATCTTTTGAATTTTAATAAGGAGGACCTCGTTTGCATATAACTTCCAGCTTTTATGTGGAAACGGTGGACAGTTTCGAGCAACGCCGGCGAGAAACACGAACAAAAGCCCGAAGTGAACAGCAGAAGGCAAATTTGTTTTCAAATGGGAAATGCACGAGTCTAAAATCGTGAGTACCAACCGGTTAACTGTCTTAACTGGGTAACTTGTGTTGCTATTATGCGTGGTCCTGAGCTGCCAAGTCTTTTGTCTCCGTTGTTGTAAATATATGTCGCGTTTTCCTAGTTTGTTTCTTTCGGTTAAATTGAAACCCAAAGTCATGAAAGGATGTTCATCTGGAAATTGTTTTGGAAGAGACTAACGCAACGTTCGAAACAAGATGTATAGCGTAATAGTACACTCAAAGAAACGGGCTAGGGTGCGTTTTACAAGTATGTGCTTGCACTTTCGATTTCAATGCTCGAAGATACGTAAAACCTTTTGTGACACCAGCAGTTTCTCTCTTCTCTGTTTCCTGTATGCAACCATAATGTAAGAGCTAAGGATTCTATTTTACATCCCAAATCGAAGACTATCCTGAATGGTGAAGCCAGTGGATAGTGTCAAATTGCCATCAAACTCAAGACAGCGTGTATAGCCTGGATTGTACTGTTAATTTACTTGACTTATCGAACTTAATGATAGGAGAATATCATTCGGCTTGATCATAAATAAGGGAATACGCATACTTCTAGGAGACTATCTTGAAGCTTCTTATAGCAAATGAGAGTAAAAAAAGTGGAGATACTAGAGAAAAAAGGAAGATATTTTTCCCTTCTAAGGAAGAGCTTAGCAGTAAGATTCCAGGAAAACCGTAATCATTGCATTCTGTACAAATTCTTAGAAATGGCGGTTCTTTAGGCGCTTACTAAAGGTTTTATTTCCTTTTCTCGAATCAGTTGACATACCAATTGGCATAGTTCTCAAGAAGTATTTTTTATAAGCCGAGTTAAGCAGTCAAACGGAATCAAACATTTCTCCCCACTTTAATTTGAATTTAACTGAATTTAATAAGTCATGCTATGCACAAACCATGTAAACATTAGTGAATTAACAACGATTCGCCTCGACTGTTAACATATTGAATATTTTCATGCAATTTTGTAAGCGGCCTATTTCTTGACGCCTTATTTTTAGGACTAAAGATACTCCTATCACGTTTGGCCAAATGAGTTATCATGGCGTCCGCCACAGCTGCAGAAGAGGCCTTGCGTGCAACGAAAAGAAAAGAGAATTTTCAACGGTTGACAAGGCTTTTGATGTGTGGAGGTGTCAGGCTTTTACGAGAAAAGTTTGATTCTATTCACCCTCCCAACGATCTTCCAGGTACCCTCGATGATACTGGTACACTTGATTTACTGAAAAAAGCAAACCTTTTCAAAGAACAGCGGGATTGCCTCTACCCTTCCCCTGGTACGTTTGGCAAGTCCACCGATTTCGATATCACTTTAATGTTTCAATTATTCAGAACAATATGCAACCTCACAGAGCCTGTTAATACTGGATGGAACAATCCACCCAACAGTACAGACCACAGTCTTGAAGCAGATTTGGTACGAATAAAAAACTACCGCAATTCCGTTCACGCGCACAGCAGCAAAATGGAAATTAAGGACACTAAGTTCTGCACTCTTTGGAACGAAATCAGCGAGTCTCTTTTACGAATTGCTGGATCTATGGGTGATGCAAAGCGATGTGAATGGAAAAAGGCCATTGATGAGTTACTAACGGCTCCTCTAACGCGAGAAGCAGAGAGATACCTGAAAGATCTTCAGTCATGGTACAAGAACGACATGGATGTCCTGAAACACGAAATGGTACAAGTAGGACATCATGTCCAGCAGGTTGATGCAGATGTCAAACATCTCCAGCAAGTTAACTTAGATATCAGAGATCAATTCCAACAAGTTAATGATCAGCTCCAACAGCAAAACCAAACACTAGGTGAGCTTAAAAAAGGTGGTTCAGCTATACTGAATATCATAAGTTTCGATTCCGTGATAACCGGATGACTGATTTCCCACTTTGGTTTCATTCAACAACATTACATTCCTTTTAATTAGTTTACGGTACATTTTCACCCTAGCATTTTTCATAACTCAGAATTCTTCATATTTTAATGTAATTCTTTGTTTTGTTTTGTTGTTGTTGTTTTTTTTTTGGCAGCTTCTTTCCGATCTCTTTTAAATTCCGACATTGGGCAGTCGCCTGTCACCAACGCTACCTAGCCCATACCAACCGAACGTCTAAATATGCTAAAGACCGTTTGCATTTTTTTTTTTTTTTTTTTTT